CGACAAAAGACAAAGGTGGAGATTGTGATAAGGTTGTCGTTTTGTCTTCATAGGCCCAAGAGTGTAAATGGACCGAGCAGCAAAGTTTTGGGCTCAGAAGAGAAACGAGATTGGGCCGGTTTACATCAAGGCCCAAAGACCAAAACAGATAAGATTAATCTGTTTCAACAATCTGTAACAGAAGATGAATAAAAAGGGGAAGTCGTGGCAAGCAGAGGTGTGGTCTTCTTCCTCTTGTTTTTCCAGAACTTTGTATCTTTCTCTCTCTAAAAAGAACGACTTGACGCCATTAATATAAGGCTCAAGCTCCGTGAAACTCTTGTATCTTTTCTGATCTAGTGGATGTTGTGGACCACCGTCGTCCACCCGAGATGTATCTGTGGAAGGGGAACTCGGTGATCAAATTGTTGTCTCGTTAATTACTCTCTGTTTTACGATTTATCAACAACGAAAGAGAATTCTAGATTCATCTGGATTAGATCAAGGTATAGAGGTTGAATCCTCACATTCCGTCATCGCCAGCCTCTCTCTTCCTCTTCCCGTTTATCCGCAACGAAGTCCGTTTTCCCTGAACCTTCTTCAGTCATCACCCACAATTAGGTATAGAATATATATAATACATTCATCTCTCTCTTTCACTCATGCATCACATATGTGCATTTAAGAGGGCTTGTGTATACGTTTCTTTACTATAGTATATGCGTATAAGGATCTCTGCGAGGTGCTTAATTTGAGCTTAGTATTTGGATTCGAATATGGCATCTACTATATATAATAAGACACTTTGAATTGATCACAAGAAAAAACTAAATGATCCTTCCAATTTATGTATGATTGTTTATTATTTACATGCTTGTTAATTACGTAAGAGAGGTTAGTGTGAAAGTACGTGTAAAGTATAATTTCGACAAACTTCCAAAAAACTTGGAACATGCTCGTGTTTCCGGTTTTTTAATCCGTGCTTTGTTTTATCTTTAACGTGATGTAACGAGAATATTAAATTTAAATAAAAATTCAGAATCTTATAGCGAACCACAAGAGGGAAAAAATAACTAAACCAAACCTATGCATTCCTATGGAAAAGCCAAATTCCCACTCTGTCTATCACATCCCTACCTTGCAAACTATTAACCATTCATAATCAGACACGTGTTATGATTTTCATCTCTAATTTTTTAATGGATAATGTTCTTAAAACTATTGTGGTATTCAAAATTTTCACCAATTTAATACCACGAGATCCGGCAATTTAATAGAAATGGAGGTAAATCCAGAGTTATAATTTAATAAAAAACAAATCTAAAATTATATTTATTTTGAAACTAAATCTCAAATGATTTAAACTTTATATTTATAGAATTTGACTACAAATAGCTAGTAAGGTTTAATATAGTTCTAAATATGACATTTTGAAAGGTTGTGTTGACACATCACTTTAAATTTTGATTTTATATGCGATCTTTTGGCATATCACCCAAATAATTAGTTATATGTAGATACACAAATCCTATATTAAGCATGTATCTAAATTAATTTTATTATTATTTCTTTCTCATTTTGTCATTTCTCTCTGGTTAATTACTTTTTAGGTAAGGTAAAAGAAACCTACCTTTTCTGGTAAGAGAACGTTTTTATATATATGTTTGGGTCAATGACTTGCAGAGATAAGTGAGAAGACATGGGAACCAAATCATACGACGAAGCCATCTATGATCTCCAAAAGCTTCTCATGTAAGTAAAATCTAAAGATATTAATTTTAAACCCGGTACTAGAAGATTTTGTTAAAATTGGGAGGCTTATAACAGTAAATAGAACTTAACAAGAACGATTTTTCTAATCAAAAGATGTGGAAAAAATGGAATTATGAATTTATGATTGTATATTAGCCAATTAGGTGTAATATTATAATGTTTTCGTGTAACAAATGCAGTGAGAAAGATGAGCTGAAGACTGTGGCTGCGGCCAAGTTGGAGCAGATCACGGCGGAGCTTCAGACAGTCTCGTCGTCGGACAGCAACTCTTTTGATCCCGTCGAACGAATTAAGCAAGGCTTCGTCACTTTTAAGAAGGAGAAATACGAGTAATTAATTAATGAATCAATCCCTC